AGGGGTCATGATGAGTGAAAATAGCAGCAACGTAGACTTTCAGGCTGGAGGGAGACAGCCTTCGCTCCAACCCTTGCTGCAGAAAGGAAAGCACAACTCTGATCGGGCATCTCTGGGGGGGTCCTCTCGGTGAGAAGAACACCACTCGATGAACAGGTTCCACTTCAAGTCATAAGCGTGTCTCATAGATGGTGCTCGCGCCGAAATGATGGTGTCCGCTACCTCTTTGGATAGGTCACCTAGAACCTCTGTGTCCCATCCAGGGACCAGACATGGAGTTTCCAGAGGTGCCACAGGGTGTCCCGTCTCAGAGAAATCCACCTGGGAGGGGCAGTCACAAAGATTATCAGTTCCAGGAACCAGGTGCGGTTGGGCCAGTAAGGTGCAAAGAGCAAGACCTGCTCCTCTGCGAGAAGGCTCACTGGGGAAACACATATTTGCATAGGCCCAGAGGCCAGCTGTGTGCCAGTGCATCCGTGCCAAGTGTTCCGAAATGTCTCCAAATCAGCTGGACCATCTGGGGATGGAGTCTCCATTCTCCTGGGAGTGCAGCTCGTGACAGCTCGTCGGCCACATGGTTAAGCAGACCCAGAATGTGAACAGCATGAAGCGACTTCAGTTGCTTCTGACTCCAAAGGAGGAGGTGGCGGGCAAGTTGCGACATACGATGGGAGCAAAGACCACCTTGTCGTTTGATGTACGCAACTTTCGCAGTGTTGTCTGTACGGATCAGTATGTGCTTGCCTCATAAACGCCCATTGAGATGGTTCAAGGCAAGGCGCACTGATAACAACTCTTGGCAATTGATATGCCACTGCAGTTGGGGGCCCGTCCACACCCTCGTGTACGTGGCACCCCAGCTGGTGGTGAAGGCATCCGTGTGTACCTCAGCATGCGTGGAGACCTGTTCTAGGGGCACTCCTGCCCAAGGAAATGCGAGGTCTGACTATGGGCTGAAGGTTTGGTGGCAGGCCAGTGTGACCTGGACCCGGTGAGTGCCGCGCAACCACGCCCACCTCGGGACTCAGCCATGGAGCCAGTGACTGCCGCTGCAGCTGCCATATGCCCCAGGAGCCTCTTAAATTGTTTCGGTGAGACCGCCATCCTGCCCTTGAACGAATTCAAGCAGTTCAACACCGATTGAGCACTTTCCTCTGTGAGGCGTGCTGTCTGTTTGACCGAATGCAACTCCATATTGAAAAAAAGAGATCCTCTGCATAAGAGAAAGTTTGCTCTTTTCCCAGTTGACCCGAAGACCCAACAGGCTGAGATGCCTGAGCACAAGGTCCCTGTGCTCGCACAACTGATCCCGAGACTGTGCTAGTATGAGCCAGTCGTCGAGATTGAGGATGCAAATACCTTGCTCTCTCAGGGAAACAAGAGCCCCCTCCGCAACTTTCGTGAAGACACGGGGGGACAGGGACAGACTGAAGGGCAGGATCTTGTACTTATATGCTCATCCGCAGAAAGGGTCTGTGGCGCGGAAGGATCGAGACATGAAAGTACATGTCCTTCGTCGATGGCTGCAAACCAATCTCAGGGACGGATGCACCCGAAGATGCGTTTCTGTGTCAACATCTTTAATGGTAGCCTGTGAAGGGCCCGGTTCAAGACACGCAGGTCCAAGATTGGTCATAACCCACCAACTTTCTTGGGTACAATGAAGTATGGGCTGTAAAACCCCATCTTCATATCGGCTGGAGGGTCCGGCCCGGAGACATGCAAGTCTCTTGCATCTCCTGCAATGTTTATAAACATTTACAAATGATGAATAGTCTCCACTTTAGATTGGGTACTGCAAAAACATGAACAAATGATTAAATGATTTGTGCAAATGTGAAAATAGGGTGAATTCCGATCATTTGGGACACTTTTTGCCATCAAAATTACTGCTACTAATGATTAGTAAAGGTTTATAAAAATTTACAATTGATGAATAGTTTGCACTTTAGATTGGGTACCGCAAAAACATTAACAAATTATTAATACATGATTTAAGATGTGCAAATAGTTAGAAGTCAACACAACAAACAAAGACCAAATATATGACCTTTTACAGACTGTGATTATGAGCTAATGAATATATTATAATGAATAGTTTGTGAAGTGTCTATAAGATACTGTATGTTCATGATGAAATTTCATTTTATTGTCGTAATTAATTTATGGCATTAACAAGATGACCTGTTAAATTATTTTTGGAGCTGTGACTGATTGAATGTATTTTTAGTCCAGTGCCTGCATATAAGATTAGTATTGACCAAGTTCAGAGGCTGTCATATGTGGATCAACTTACTATGTTGTGTATTTTCAACAGTTTCAATATGAAAAATAACTTTTATATTGATTCAATGGATTTATTGCATTTGTTTAGCGCAAATACTGAACTCGTGAGACATCATGACATTATCGAGTATATTGCAAAAACTAAACAAAACACACCTACAGAGGCACACATATGCGGTGTGATGAAGTCTGGTTAGACCAACACAGAGTTTAGTGCGCGTGCGCATTTAGAGTGTGTTCTTTCACTGCATTATTCAGTCTATTAATATGCATTAAGAATGATCACATAATTCAAGATAAGGGGGCAGAAAATGTATATATTTAAATCAATTCATATAGTTAATCATCACACGAAGAGTGCCGTTTTTTCTTTAAAAAAATCAGCATGGTTACAAATGTGATATTGATTTTATACAACAGTTCAATAAACAATAAGTTAATATCAAGAAACTTACGTTCTAGACACCATATTGTCTGTTTTTGCGCTATTTCTGCGCTATTTCGCCAACAACAACAACAAAAAAAAACATTCCAAACACAGCCACAGTAGCCTACTGTTTTGTTCTCTGAGCAACATGACACTGTTTTGTTCCTGAATGAATCAACCGTTTAAATTATTTGGTTCAATCGCAATGACTCACTTATTAACAGTGACTTGCTTTCACATTTAAAGTATCTTTTCATTTTTTAAATAATTTCAAATATCAGTATTCAACATTTCATGTTTTAAATATCAAAACATTATTTATGCATTTGTAACTGCAGGTTAAAGCATTCCATATCCCTCTAAGCTGCATTAACGTGTAAATACATCTAAATGGCACTTCATATGCAATTTCTGCAAAGATTAATTTGATTAATACTGATTTCATTTGTTTAGTAACAGCCTAAATGTATTATTATAGTGTTCATGCTTGTGTGCATGTGTCTGACTTGGATCCTGTTCTGTAGACTGAAGCTCAGGCCAAAAAGGGAGAGGATGCAGATGATGTGGAAAAGATTGAAGAGGAGGACAGTCAATTTATGAAGCTAGCTAAGAAGCTAACGGCTAAGAACCTTCAAAAGAAAGGTACTGAAATGCTCTGAGATTGTAAAGATTGCAGAATCACTATGCACTAATTCAGGTTTTCTGACAGTATTTAGGACTGTAGTGCTGATTGACTATTTGAAGAGTTTGGTTCCAAAACACGATAAACTATTTTTTTAAGCCATTTTTACAAAAATTTAGTTTCCGCCAAAATCAGTATTGTATCTGGTCGGTATTGAAAAGTCCATTTTTAATTTTATGCAAAATGCGATATCCGCCGAGTTATTCTGTCGTTTTCTCCCTTTTTTTCCAAACCGCGACAAAGGACAGTCTCCCTTTTCTGCAGAATGCGATATATCCGCTCAACCAATCACAGCGCACCATTCCACACATTGTAGACAGTAACAACCAATCACAGCGCACCATTCCATGTGCTCTAGACAGTAATGGCGGCGCTTTGAATACACCCGGCTTCCTAGTTTTCCTCATCTATTTTGTACTTTGTGATCAACAAACAAACTTAGGGCTGCACGATAAATCGCATGTGATTGTGATTGTCATGCGCATCTCGTCAGTAAAGCCGGTTCTGTGAATAGTAAATCTCCATCACGTGCTTTCAGATGGAGCGGCATTTAATATACAGAGCCATAGATCACTGCTATATCGCGTTCATAATCGCAGATGAGTCGCATTCGATTATTAACGCGATATTGCGTAGCTTTTTCAGTGTAAGTGTTTTTATTTATGCCAATAATGTTTTTGTTAATACAGCGTATAGCACTAGTCAACTAAATGAATGTAACATGGCAAAGATGAATGCACTTTTGGAAGTTGAATGTAAGGGAAATGTCATTTTGGAATTTCTGTGGTTTAATGTGATATTGTTGTTCATGTATGTTCATGATGAAATTTTATTTTATTGTTGTAATTAACTTATAGCATTAACAAGATGACCCAATTAATTATTTTTGGGAGCGATGACTGATTGAATGTATTTTTCGTCCAGTTCAACAGTTTCAATATAAAAAATAACTTTTATATTGATTCAATGGATTTATTGCATTTTGAAGAAAAAAAGTGTCATGGATTTATTGCATTTTGGGAAAAAATAATCACATTTTATAATAAATCTTTGAAAATCAAAATCTGGATTTGAATTTTTTATGTTATTATAACCTAAAGATGGTATGTGAAAGTTTGAAACAGAAAATAGTAGTTTTCATCTGGCCACTTTCTTGGTAAAGAAAACACATTTTTACTCAAATTAATCAAAATGGATGTATAGCGTTTTGGAACCAAACTCTTCATATGTTTATAAATTTGCACTGGCTACCAATAGCTGCTCGCATAAAATTCAAGGCATTGGAATTTGCCTACAAAACCCCCACTGGCTCTGCACCCCTTTACCTAAATTCATTCCAACTTTATTGTATTTCTACGGGCAGAGGAGAATAGCCAAACCAAAAAGAAATAATAATAATAATAATAATAGCCTACAAGGAAGGAATAACTGACAACGTGCCGTTGAATTACAGAAAGAAAGAAAAAAACAAGGTACCGTCACGAAGTTCTTGTTTGGCAAAATGAATATAAGCTATATACTGTGTCAGTTAGAACAAGTTCAATAAAACATCTTTATTGTATTTCTACGGGCAGAGGAGAATAGCCAAACCAAAAAGAAACAAAGAAAACACAATGTAACGTTCATAAAACTGTACACAATGGAATGCGCACATGTGACTGGGGCTAGTGCCATCTAGTGGTCGCTGATTTTCTTTGGCTCAGCTGCGTGTGTGGATTGGGCAAGGCTAAAAGGGCGGAACGAAAGTCTCAAAATTCAAATGAATCATAGAATCGACTCAGGAGAGACGTGAATGAATGCATGCGCGTCGCCTGATCCACAAATGCACATTTTAATCACTACATGCACAAATTATGATACTTTAATACCAACTATAACATTTGTATTCACAAATATGTCTCGATTTTAACAAAAATGCTGCACATTAATGTAATTCTTAATTCTGCAGACACCGCATTTGAAAAGCATTTGTTTCAGTGTAGTGATGCACATTTGCTAATTTTTCAAATCGTGTACACGTTAATGAATTGCACTGGGCCTTGTTCGTTGGTAGTTGTGTGTGTGGGGGACATGAAATGCTGTAAACTGCGAAAATGAAGTCTCAAAATCCAAATGAACCGAACAAGATCGACTCGAACTAGATGTCAATTAATGCACGCGTGTCACCTGATCCACATATGCTTGGATTCCTTTTTGCATGAGCAATTTATGATATATTACTGCAGAACAGAACATTTTTAATCGCAAATATGTCTGTATTTGTACAAATCGTTGCAAAATTGAATCCCGAATTCCACAGAATCAAATTGAAAGGAATTTGTTTGTGGTTAGTAAGATACATGTCACGGAAACGGATGTGTGGAAGCAGGCAGGACGACGAGGACAACAAGAATTCCACTACTCACTTTTAATGTAGACACAACAAGGCAGGTACAGGTAGGTGAAACACACACACTCGGGGTAACATTCACAATAACCGACACCAATGCTCAGACAGACAGGAACTAATAAGGGGT